TCGCAACCCTCAGTGTCGCGCCCGTACTGGGCCGGGACCGGCAACGGGATCACAACCCTTGGTGTTGCACCCGCAACCTTGCTCAGCCAGTGAGCGGCCGGTCTGTATGTGGGATCCGAACCCTCGGCGGGAGCGCCGCCATGCTCTCAAGCGGCGCACTGTAGCAGTGCGCCACCGGGCCGGCCCGTAGTTCTTTGGTGTTTCTTAAGTGCCTAGAATAAGTGCTTGGCACATACATTTTCACTGAGTTTAATCATTGCCCCTCATATACACAGTAATAACAGCTGCTTTTTCCCTGTAAAAAGGTGAAGTGATTAAACAAAAATGTATAGATGAATCAATATCAAATCTTATAATGAGAATATCCATTCTGTTAAATAAAACTTATAGGAAGCCACTGATTTGGACTGAGCTGCTGCATAACACCCAACAAACCAAACCAAATGGAGTCACTCACGCTAAAGTTCTATGTCAAAGCCCAAACGAGGTTAGACCTTCCAAGAAATCAGGAGAGAGAGAGATAATAGCCAAACCCTCAAACAGGCCAGTTGTAGTTGGCATAAGGAAGTCCACTCTGCTTTAACATTTACAAGGAAAGTAATTTTGAAACTTTATTGCAGCAATATTTTTTGAAACAATCTAAAATTCCAACAATAGAGACAAGCTTAAATAAAGTATGGAACAATCATACCATGGAATAGTTTACAGTTGTTCAAAATCAAGTTTTATGTAGAACATGCAATGACTTGGGAAAATGCTTAAGCTATAAAGTTCAAGGTTAAAATAACCGGGGAATAAAACCGTACATAGAGCAGGATTCCAAAATTTCAAATACAAATACATATATACATATACCACAAATAAAAAAATGATTGAAAGAAAAATATATAAAAATGTTAACACTTGTTATTTCTGTGTACTAGGATTATGAGAGATTTTATTTTCTCATTTAAAGTTTTCTGTACTTTCTGATTTTCCCAAAATTAGGTATTACTTTCACATTTAGAAAAATAAATAAATGTTAACAATAATAATATAAAAGTGAGATCCAGGAGTTCCAGAAGAAGCTAACATGAACATTATATATTCTGATCATTCTTTCTTTGCTTTATAAATGGCTGAATCTTCCAGCTAAAAAGTTTTTATTTCCAGTAGAAGTGGTGCTTGAATTTTTTCCTTGACTGGATTTGGATACAGGATCCACTGCAACATACATGATTTGGAAACCTCCTGCTGTCACTGAAGCATCACTCAGAAACTTCAAGGTCATAACATTTCCTGTGGGGGAGGGACATGCAAAAGAACAAAGATATCACTCTCCTTTGGCTGACAATTCAAAGACTCATCATTCTCATAGAGGAATTCATGAACAAGACTCCCAGAATTCAGAGGTGGATTCTCAAGCTGTGGTATCATTGCCAAGTGGAACATGATAAGGGACTTTCATATTTCTCCTCTGGCCCTCCAATCTGCCCTATAGGAAATTTTGTCTATTCTGTTTTAAAAGGTACTCTTTGTAGAAGGGACATTTGCAGAATTACAGGAGAATCGCAGGCAGTTCAAACCAGTGAGGATTTTACTAAATGATGTCAGGACAACAAACTTTATATTTCTTTCTTTCTTTTTTTTTTTTTTTGGTCTTTTTCCGTGTCCGGCAACGGATCGCAACCCCCAGTGTTGCCCCCGTACCGGAC